CACTCCTCTACTTTGGGGTGCCAAGAATATTATCCTCAGTGTCATGGACAAATTCAGCTGTGTGTTTACATGACATTCTGCTGATTGTACAGCTGTTGTGTTCCTTCCCCTTCCCCTTCCCTCCCCCCCCCCCCACCCCTTCGAGTATTTAGGTTGTAAATTCACTGAGATGGTAATCTCTGCAAAGCCCATTGAGATGGATCTGGAGGAAAGGTGTGAAATAAATGCAGAATCATTAAGGCTGTGATGGTTTTGATGATAGACAATTACAGTAGTCTACTTTTAATTTTGTGCCTTCTGCTACCTGTGATGTGAATTTGGATCCTTATTATTAGTTTGTTTGTTTCTTTTTTTGGGGGGGGGGATTTGTGTGTCTTTCATGTGCTAGTAAGTAGCGTGTACTCTCTACCATCACAGACGGATTGGTTTCCATCCTTGTATCTAGTTACACCAGCTCCTAGGCAACCAGCACCATATGTATATTATAAGATAATAAGCCTTAGAGGGGATTACTGTGGGTTCCTATTGAGATGCAGAACATATTGATGAGGCTCTTACCAGTAGGAAGGATGGGAAATTTCAGATGGAATTTTCTTCTGACATTGACCCTTTGAGTTCATAGCCTAAAAGGGGAATCAGAGACCCACTGTTTATGATCTGCACCTTTCATGTGGTGCACAGCTGGGAGCTGTTTTCAGCACCACTGAAAGGATCATGTGCCAGAAAAAAGCTTCCCATGGGGGAAAAGGCCAGGATATTTTAATGATAATTTAAACAAAAAGTCACATAATTCATAATGGGAAAGCTTGAAAGATATGCATGCCACAAACCAGTCTCTCTACTGATTCTACTTGAATTCCCATCATTCCCGATAATCTGCCTGATTACACATCACATGCCATGGAGGCAGAGGGGGACCAGTCACATCAATGGAATATACACACCTATTTTCTTCCCTTTCTTCATAAAATACTGCAGATATTTTTTTTCTGCCTGAGACTTTCAGGCTTGCCTTAACCTAAATCAGGAGCAGCTTGGGAGGAAAAAAAAGATTAAATAGGAAAGGAAAAATAACTCAGAACCATAGACATCAACCTACAATTATAATTTTAATATTATTTATATAAATAGTACTACCTACAGGCTTTTGATCAATATGAGACCTCCATTGTGCTAAGCACTATATAGCAGGGCTGGGCAAGATGCGGCCCGGGGGCCAGATCCAGCCCACCTAAAACTTTGATCCAGCCTGCATCTGGCTGCCTTCTATGTATAGACTGCTGCCTGGGCCACCGAATTTCCAGGCGGTGGCTCAGGTAGCAGGATCCTATTGAAATGGCCCACAGCTCAGTGTCGTGGCACTACCCTGGAAGGGGCCAGAGTCACAAGCCTTTTAAATAGCCACAGCAACCCCAAGCAGATGCCAGGCAACGGGGTAGCAGCAGGACCAGGAGTCCATATCTGTGTTTTTTCTTTAAAGCCTCTGGCCCCAAACAATTCAGGGTCAGGGGGAGTTCCCAGGGAGTCCACAGTCCTGCCCCTTTCTGGGGAGAGTGGAGCTGGCCCATGACCACGTAGCAAAATTCATGAAGTGGCCCCCTGCAAAAATTATTGCCCACCCCGCTGTACAGACAGAGTGAGAGACAGTGCCTGCACCAAAGAGCTTGTATTTGACATTGACAAGACATGGAAAGGGGAAAAAGCATAGATAGGTGAAGAGACTTGCAAGAGATTGTATAGCAGGACAGATACACAATCCAAATTTCTGGGGCCACAGTCCATTGTCTAATCCACTGGCCCATATTGCTACCTAGCCTTTGTTGCTACCTGCTTTGTGATGTTGCATTCCCATATTCTTTATGCAAATATGCTTTTGAATCTGAACATGGCTAACTCAGATATGCTTTATACAAAATAGTGCATGTAACTTAGCATTTTAAAAGTTATAATCTGCTGACTGTGTATGGTATATTCTATTTGAGTGCATGTATCATTTCTGTATTTAAAGTTAGAAATATGAAGCATAAACCTGCTTACTGATCTGGACATACTAAGTGAGAGACATTAGTGGTAGTTAAGGAACTGAATGGCCTGATATTTGGGACAATGAGCTGTGAATAGTCTGGCTGCTCCTGTGAGCCTGGATTATGGTTGGTCCTACAAAGACATATGACCAGGCCACCTGATGCTAGAAACCATTTTGGACGCTGTACTTTTCTACTCAGGGTGAGAAAATTTTGAATTGAACACAAAAGTTTCCTGCCTTGCGCAAAATATAAAGGCATGAAACCAAACAATAAGGGCTGCTGCCAGATGCCAGACGATCCTATTTACCATAAAATGATTGCTTGAAACATTTAAGCTGGGAGGCTGCCTCACTTGTGCGAAAAGGTGATTAGAACTACTGTTACGGTAAGAAGTTGCATGTAACAGGTTTCTTAGTGCATTAGGCTTGGCTGGCGTGTTTTGTTTTGCTTAGTAACTTACTTTGAGCTGTCTATTTTACTTGCAATAACTTAAATCCTAATTTTATAGCCAATAAAATCACTTTTGTGTATTAATAAACATAAGAACATAAAAATGGCCATACTGGGTCAGACCAAAGGTCCATCTAGCCCAGTATCCTGTCTGCTGATAGTGGCCAATGCCAGATGTCCCAGAGGGAGTGAACACAACAGGTAATCATCACGTGATCCCTCTCCTGTCATTCATTTTCAGACAAACAGAGACTAGGGGCATCATTCCTCCCCATCCTGGCTAATAGCCATTGGTGGACCTAACCTCCATGACTTTATCTAGCTCTTTTTTGAACCCTGTTAAAGTCCTGGTCTTCACAACATCCTCTGGCAAGGAGTTCCACAAGTTGACTGTGCCACAAGAAGAAGAACTTCCTTTTGTTTGTAAACACAGTATAAATCATTGTTACCTGGGTGGGGGGGAACAACAATTGTGCATATCTCACTTTCTTTGATAAAGGGGGCAAACAGCTTATATGAGATCATGCTAGATACATTTTATGCACAGAGAGACACATTTATCTGGGTTTTGGTCCTATTGGAGCTGTACACTTGGGTGCTGTATCAAGCCCCTGTGACTGAGCCTTCTCAGAGCTGAGTGGATCTCATTGTCTGTGTTGCTCTGCTGTGGGCTATGTACAGACCCTAACTCTGCCATTGCTGGGGGGAGACCAGAGATTCTGGCCCAGCAGGGCAGATTGGTGGGGCGCCCCAGAGGACAGGTAGGTGGACTCAGTGCTATGATCAGCCCATCTGGTCAGAGTCTCAAGGGAAGCTCTGTGACCCAAACCATCACACACACACACACTCGATCTCTCAGCAGGAGCCTCATAAGACAGTCACCAGTTAATCTGTCCAATCTCTTCCGTTGTGCCAGAGAATGTTATGTAATTAAGACACAAGCTACAAAGCTAATGTACCACCTTGAAAGTGTTCCATGCTCTTTTCCGAGCAAAGGGAGTCATGAGTCCAGGATGTGAGAAGAAAAACAAAACTCATCCTGTTAGATTGGTTGAGTAAATCAGAGCAAGCATTGTTATCAAGTAAAGAGCAAAAATTGCTCCAGATGCATCTGCAAATAGGGAAATGGGCTGTTGATGTTTGTAAGTTATGCCTGTCTAACTTGGGCTGTTGGTCTCAAATATAAGCTTGTAGGAGATTTCTTGGGACTATCTATTAAGTCTGGGGACTTTCAGCCCAAAAGGGGGTTTGGGATAGCTGCACAGGCAGTGGAAGGAGGGTATCAAAGTGGCCAGGTAGGCCACAAAACAACCTGTTCCATAGCCCAGTTTTGTTCAGATTCCTGTAAATTGGGGATACATTAATAAATATTAATTCCTTGAATTAAAATTTTAATTTGTACTTGTTTTCTCCAAACAATAGACATCTGTCCTCCTCCCTTCCCCCTAACCTTAAGGTAGTAGGACAAACAGGGATTGGAGGCAGAATATAGCTAAAGGGGAAAATCTCTTTCCTTTGAGAGGCGGGTATTGTCTGTGACTTTTATTCTAAACAGGGCTGTCTGTGGCTGCTTGAACAACCTGTAATTCCCTCCTGCTGCTGGCATGGGTTGGGAGTGTCTTTACTGCAGCATGCAAGATAATTTTGGGGTGTTTGAGGATGAATGATAGGGGCAGCTAGTAGAATAGCTGGAGGGACCTAAAACTGATGAGGGTAACAGTGGTTTAAAAAAAATATGGTGAGGATCATACTGTCACAGCTGTTGTTTTGGAAGGGGGGTGTGGAGTTTTTCTAGTTCCTGAATGGGCGTGTGGAATAGACTTGGAAACCATTATAAAACAGAGTGTATTGGCCCCTAGCAACAAACACCAGAGAGGAGGTGATATGAAATGTAAAAGCCCAAATACCCAGAAGGAAAAAAGACACCCTGTTGGATTCGGAGGGCTTTATTCTCCCATCCCTCACATCAGTTTAACAACATGGTGGCCCCACTGTCCTCAGTAGACTTCCTGGTTCACAAGTAAAAAGAGAATGAGACCTACTGATTTCCATTTTTCTCAGATCACTTTTCCCTTCACTGTCGGGGTAAAGGAGCTGGAGGGGTTTGTTTGTTTGTTTTTTGTTGGTTCTCCTGGATGTCAGACATGGCCCATTAAGTGGTTGCTGGCTTTGAGGGGTTCCCCCCCCCTTTTTTAAAGAAAAATAAATGGATCTGCATATTTTAGCTTTTATTTGACCAAAAACAAAACAAATAAGAAAGAGCCAGGCTAGTCCACCTACAGTAGACAAGGGAGGGAAGGAGAAAGAGAAATTTCTCTTTAAACCGAGCCTAAGATTGGGTGAGGCTCCTTGCCTCCCCCCTCAAAGATTTCTATGTATTTGTGGCAGTAACACTCTGGCTCTGGGAAGAATCTGACATCAAAGCCACCCAGGAAAGAAGGCCAGATTTGCTAATTAATATTCTGAACTGGTGACCCCCGTCTCTTTCTTTCCACCTCCTTCTCTGTCTCTCTCTCTCTCTCTCTCTCTCCTCCCTTCAGATGGCTGCAGCCCCCCACAGCTGAGTCAGTTCTTCCTCTTCCACAGCATTGCAGCACTTGAGCGGAAAGCCAGCAAGGCGTTCTTTTACTCCTCCCTTCTGCTGCATCTCCTCGCCAGCATCCACTCTGCCACCCACCTCAGCACCATGGCCAGCACTGTGTCAGGTAGGACCAGCACCGAGGGTTTTTTAAATCGGTCTTTTAAAACTTCATTATTGTTGTTTATGATTGTTTCCAGGGGGGATTTTGCTTGAATGCTCAGGGGGTTCTCTGAGGGACAGACAGCTGGTCTGGTAGCATTGTCTCCCCCACCCCCTATTATGTATGAAATCTGGGTGGGATTTTTTCATCCGTATCCACAGTTGTTCAACCTGCCTCCTTAAAAAATTCCTGACCTTAAAATGGGATGCTGAGAGAGACTTGGGGTATATCTGATAATATTGCCTGTTCATATTTTGTGGTCATATGGTAATTTTAAACAATCATATGCCCCTTTTTGGAAGAAGAATGGAGGGGGCTGGGAAGGGTATTTTTTCATCGGTAAAGATCAGATACTGCACAGCGGGGACGAGGAAAGAGATACAAGCAAGACATTGAAAATGATGCTTAAAACAAATCCAACTTGCTCTCTGTGCATTGCCAGAGCATTGCATCCATGAGGATGCAGATCTTCATTATAAAGTGCTATAGGGGAGCGGTCCTCTGATGCTGCCGAGTGAAATCTAGTGCTGCAGGGCAAGCCCTTCCCCCTTCCTGCAGTAATACTGCGAATAATGGCCTTGCCACCTCTCCTTTTCCCAGGTTTGGCATTTTTTGGCTTTGAGGCTCAGCTTAGCCTGCAGCATTTCAGGCTGTTGTGAGAATGCTGCACCCTTTCTGTGCAGTTGGTTCCTAGAGATGGGTCTTGCGGCACTTTACTGGGGAGCTGCGCAGGTGGGGGTGGGGATGGGGGAGGGGTTCACATGGATGGAACTGGAGCTCAGTGAGGAAGAAAATAAAAGTGCTGATTTACACCTGCACAATGGATGCTTGTTGAGAGTCTCCAAAAAAAAAGTCCTGTTCTTAAAGAGCTCTGATTCCCACTATGCTGCATTAAAGAGGAGGGGGCTTTGTGAGCGATGGGGCAGGCAAAATAATCATAAAGGGTTGAAATGGGGGGGCGAAATGGAACTGCAGCAGGAGTGTTTGCTCCAGACCCTCGCCCATCCCGGGAACTCACCGAAAGGAAGACAGAGCAGCCTTTCTTGGTGCGTTCACTAGATTCCCCCTGTGCTCCCTGCCAGGCATTTCCTGTTCTTTTCTCCTTTTAAAAAGATCACCAAAGCCAGGAGGAAAGGAAAGAAAAGAAGGGGGCTGTGGAGGAGGTGTTAAGGGATGTGTGTGGGGATGCGGCTAATCCAAAGCAAGCTTTGTATATTATTACGAAACCAAAACTAGCCATTGTGAAAAATGCATGCTAGAAAATCTGCAGGCATGGGAGGGGGTGTGTGAGGGGGAGAGAGAGAGCACCTCAAAAAGCCTGTCACTGAATGTGTGCTGGTGTTTATTCTGAGGGCCCCACCCATCCATTTTGCTGTATCACAGTATTGGTTCTGGTCTAATTTGAAGTGCGGGGAGCTCAGCAATCTAATCCAAGATTGCATTGAACCTGACTCGAATGAGACGATGGGTGTGACATTCAGAGGCACCAGAGGAGAGGATTCAAGAGACAGCAGTGTTATAGCAGCAGGAGAAGAGAGAAAACAGAAATTGTTGGTGTCTGCATCCCCTTTTGTAGGGGTCAGTGTTGCACTTCCAACTGGAATAGAACGAAGGCTGCAAAGGCAGGCAAAGCAGGGAGATTCGGTCAATGAAAGAGAAAGGTCTTTTTCCTTTATACTTTCCGCCTTATTTCTCTCTTTATCCTGCGCAAAAACAAATCAGTGCTGGAGAGAGAGCAGCTGTAAGTGTTTGCAACCAATGCCCATGGGCATGTGTCCCTAGGGAAGATTTCCTTGGGTCTGTTAAAATAAACAAATCTCTCTGCTGAAAAAGAAACCAGTCTAGCAGGCCCCGCTTCACCAGTTCATTTTGATTTTTCACCAGCCTTTTTAGGCTCTTTCTTCTAGCCATGATTGTCAACTTCTGTGATAAGGCAGTGGAAGCAGCGGCACATGCTCAGTGCAGGCGGAGCTGCAGTGATGACCCTGCTATGCTGACAGAAGTAGGGGCCTCCCACATGCTCTGGTGAATCCTTAGCGAGTTATTCCGGCTGAATTACACCTTTTTGTGCACCCCAAAAGCAGAGTTCAGGCTACACACCTGAGTTCCATTCATCCCCTGCTGAAAAGCCTGGGTATATGAACAGGTAGAAGAATATTTGTGGCCTCTCCTAGGGATTATGAAATGTTGCAGTATTGTGGAAGTCCCGTGGACTCTTCTGGTAGCTAAGTGCATCTGGTGTGGTGGAGCCATGCTGAATCACTGCTCTCATTCTGGTGTGCAGACGCGGACACCACATGGCACTAAGTGGTCGTGGAAAATCCCAGAGGTTTCTCCTCACTAGATGGATGTCAACATCTGTGGCGTAGTGCAGGTGCTGTCTGCTCTGTAACCCATGCCCCCCCCGCTCTATGATGTGAAATTCTCACTGACTCTCCCAAATGTGTATTAACCGACACCTAAACTCAGCCTCCCAGGGAGAGACAAGGCGGAATCAACACCTGGCTGGGGGGCAGGGCCTGGGAGGGAGGCAGTTATGGTCGGGGAAGCAGGAAGAGAACAGACTAGGGAGGGAGCTAGATTTTTAGGGGCCCAGTCTCCCCCCATCTCAAGGGGGGTTGAGGCCTCCTCGCCCTGGTTACTGTGACCAGATTACATCTATGCTGTGCTGTACCCTGGAAAAGCAACAAACTCCCTTAATTCTACTGGCTGGCGGAGTCTGTTTGTGCCACTACGGGGGTGCAGAAGTCAGGGAGACCTCAACACGCAGTCACAGAATCATATGGCTTTATATAGCCCTGGTGGATCTCCAGGAGCTCTTCTTCTGCACTCTATTAGTGAATAGTCTGGAGCAGTGGCCTATAGCAACCATTTTAATTGTTAATATTGCAGTAGCACTCAGAGGCTCCAATCAGATTCATACCTATCTGCCCTGTCTATGCATCTCCACTGTATCTCTTTAGTTTCCTTCAACATTTCTTTAATGAGTTGCGTATACAAGGCTTGTCCTAGAGATTCCTGTCACGCCTAGCAGGACTTCCGTTTTACAAGTCAAGGGAGTACAATGAAAGGAATGGTCTTTAAGTCACTGTATCCAACCGGGGATTCCAAATCATTTGAAAATATTTATTTTTCTCAGTCTGTAAATCAGGTCTCCATTGATGGCATGTTGCAGAGCTTCTGAAATCCCTCAGCTATTTAACCTTCCCTGAGGTATCTAAGTGCTGGTATAGATTTGATAAATGTATTGTTTTAATGAAGTGAATGGACTCTCCTTCTAGAAAGGAAAAGTGGGTACTCAGTGGCATCATGGGCCCTGGGGAAATTTTTGTGAACTCTCTTTCTGAGAAGTAAAATGGGAATGGTGTAGACAGTGGCTCTGGGACTAGCTCCTTTTGGAGCTAGGGGGTAAGATGCACAGAGGGCTTACCTTTCTTCTGTGGATAGGCCCGGAAAACCTCTGGTGAATAAACCATTCCATGAAATTTAGAAATCCTTTTCTGATCACTGCCTCTAATGTGGAATGCCCCTTACTTACTTCCCTTGGCTTGTGAGATTGTGTGAAATTGCTGGATGGAAGGGAAGGGTTAGAAGGAAGGCTCTAGGTGAAGTAAAAGGTTTTGGACTTACCAGTTCCACACTTTCTATATCCAGAACAATCCAAATGCTCTGTACAACAGCAGTTGTGTACAGACCCATCCAGCGCATTCACAAGTGTCCAATCCACCACTTTCTTCTCAGATACGTAAGTCAACTGTGGACCTTCCAGGTCTGAATTAGCTCTCAGGGCTGTTGAGTGTAACTTTTGGGTGAAACTCAAGAGAGCCAGTCAGTCTGGAACACTGTTATGGGAATTTGGTGAAGATCAGTAAGCCCTCAACAGTTTGTCTCCCAATTCCACTGAAGATCATTGGATACGCTGTACCTTTCTGAGGTTTGCCCTTTGATCCACTCCCTCTCTTGATCATGCCTCATTCTTTCGGGTTTGTAGCAAGGTTTCCATAAAGAGTCTTGTCTAAGGCAGGATTAAATCTAGGACTACGTATTTACCTGGATCTGGGAGAGCAAAAAAGGGCTAAAACGCAGCCAGCTTTTCCATGCCTCTTCTTGTGCATGGCAGCATTTCCCAGCCAGGTAACAGCTCCTTGCAGTCTATCATCAGCTGGCATACTCCCCTATCTACCATACATACTTACATGGCCTTTACTACCCTAGTATATGAGCACCTGGCAACCTTTATCTCTTTTATCCTGAAGACAACCCTGTGTGGTCAGTCAGTGCTGTCATCCCCATTGTACAGAGAGGGAACCAAGGTCCAGAGACAGTAAATGACTTGCTCAAGATCGTACAGGGAGTCTGTACCAGAGCAGGCATATGAACCAAGGCCTCCCAAGTGTCAGGCCAACAACTTAACTGCTGGAACATTCTTCTCCAGGCTCTTGGTTGGTTCCCATCTCAGCTACAACTAGAATCTAGTTCACATTAGAAACCTCCACAGAAACCTTGGGTTACCTGCCCCCAATTGTACGCCTTGATTTTCCTTTAATCCAATTGCCATTGTGCTACGTGCTCTCTCAAGGGGTGTGGTCAGTCAACTACTTTGGTCCTTGTAAACCCACAGAAATCTGAATCCAGCACACCGTCAACCTGTGGAACGTCTTGCCAGAGAATATTGTGAAGACTACGACTTTAACAGGGTTCAAAAAAGAGCTAGATTGATTCATGGAAGTTAGGTCCATCAATGGCTGTTAGCCAGGATGGGTAGGAATGGTGTCCCTAGCCTCTGTTTGTCTGGAAATGGATGACAGGAGAGGGATCACGTGAGGATTCCCTGTTGTGTTCCCTCCCTCTGGGACACCTAGCATTGGCCACTGTCGGCAGACAGGACACTGGGCTAGATGGACCTTTGGTCTGACCCAATATGGCCGTTCTTAAGTTCTACTTTGGGCTTTGGAACCAGATGA